CTCAGTGGTTACTGGCTTCCTAAAAAACCCTTTCCTGGCTGCTCTCCCTTCTGGTATCACATCTCTTCTCCCTGGCTGGTGCTTCCTGGAATCTTCTCTCAAATCAACGACTTGCCTTTAAATCTTTGTCTCAGTTCCACCACTGAGAAAAACCTCACTCACTGGGTGAAGACTCTCCCTGGATTTTACAGAACCTCTAGGCATTTCTTTACCTCTGTAGATCCAGCAGAGAAGGCTTGGAGCAAAACAGGAGACCCTCAGCTCCACTCTCTCTGCCTGTCCACTGAAAGCCGCCTCTTCAGTCACATATCATGTGCCCTTGAAGGAGTCCTCCTCTCTTTTAGAGACCTTGAAGAACCCATAGGCTTGGACCAGCACTGGCCTGTGGTCGTCACTGCCCGGGGGCCACACAGGAAAGTGAAAAACAAGCCCTGCCTGCCTGCCTCTCCCCTGTTAGATGCATCCCATGCCTGTGTCCTCACTGACTCATGCTCCTCTGGAGAACACCCAGAACATCACTGCTTTCCCTCTCCCTCTGAGACTTGCACATAGTGGCTCAACACACAGGGGTTCAGTGGAGTTAGAGCATACATCTGGGCAGTTTGTACAGAGAGAATGGGGTAGAGGAACTCTGATTTTGACTTGGTCTAAAATTGTTTCTTGGCCAATACTCATTTCATGTTATTCCTGAAGGGTTGGGGGAAAAGAGGATTTTAATCATCTGGAATAGTGAGATTTGACCGGTGGGACAAGATCCCTCTGATTAAATTCAATCACAGAATAACAGAGTAATGATAAAAGTGGTATTATTATCTTTTGCTCCTAACAATCAACAGATTCAATGTAGATTTGTTGAATTAAATGAACACTAATGACTTACATTTATATATTGATTTGCAGCTTTCAAAGGATTTCAATTCTCAGTTTAAATGGAAAGAACACTGGAGTACCAGCATACTCAGATTCTTCTCTCTCTCTTTTTAGAGAGAGGAATTTCATAAGCAAGAGTGGGAGAAGCAGGAGAGGGAGAGAGAAAGAATCTTAAGCCGGCTCCATACCCAGTGCAGAGCCTCACTCGGGGCTTGATCTCACAACCCTGAAATCATGACCTGAGCAAAAATCAAGAGTCAGATGCTCAACTGACTGAGCCATTTGGATGCCCCTCTTCTTTTTTAATACATGGAATTAAGATCCTTTGAAATTAATTCTGCTTTGGAAAACGTTTTGTCAAGTTTATCAAGAAATTTTTGTTACAGCTGTCCAAAAACCTCTGTTAGAGTTTTCACTTCTCACTGAAAATAATCAGTAGTGAGAAGGAATTTTCACAACACAGTACATTTCTGTTTACTGTAACCTGTAATAAATTAACAGTCATCCTCCCGTGGTGACTGTTGCAGGTACTAGGCCTATATGCCTTTGTCACCCATCCCCTGGGGAACTCCATCCAACTGCCTGTACAAGCGTCTCTTTGCCAAGGGCTTTCTCTGAGACTGTAGAAGGTATATCCACATCCCCTAGGACAAGCCCTCAACCAACAACTAAAAGGAGTTGATGTATAAATACCCCAGCCTCTGCGGGGAGCTCATGCATGTTCTACACCATCTCCTGAATTCCCCAGCAGGATCGAATTCGAGCTGCTCCCCATGGTAACTTTGATAATGCACTGTTTACTGGCTGCCTTGCCTTCTGTGTCTCATTCCCCATTCTATCCTTGGTTCCGAGAATCACCTCCCAAATAAACTATTTGCACTCTGACCCTGGTTTCAAGCTTTGCTTCTGGAGAAACCCAAAGCACCTGTCACTAGAAGGGCACTAGGCAAGCTCATTACATCCAGGCCATTAAGTCACCTAACAAGGTGTGACGCTGCCTGTTAGTCCTTTGCTCAAACAATTTTTGAGCTTATCACCGTCCACTGATTTCATTGCTCTCCTGGGCGGCTCTATTCCACTTGCCATCCTCGTTCTGTTAATTATAGTGTAAAATTTTTAATTACAAATAAAGAAGATAAATTTGGTTAGTAGCTTCAAAGTTGTCACTGTCCACTCCACACAGAGTGAGAGAGACACTGACTGGAACCAACCTGTTGAGGTTCAAGTTCTCCACTGGGAAATTGAGAAGGAGGTATTTGGATGTTGTTTTCTCACTTGTACCAATGACCTGGAAACACTTCACAGCCATGTGTAATTATAGGTAATTTTTTGGTAAGGGTCCAAATGTTTGATAAATGTCGAAGACTCAGATCTTCCTCTGGATGGAGGCTGTTTTGTATGGAACTCACATTTCCCGTTCAATTCTTAGGTGACATCTAGTTTGAATTTAGAGGACATGGTGTCATCGCCTCCACATTCCCACCAAATGGTCATCAACCCTCCCTTTGACCATTTTCAGATATGGAGAACTCATTCTTTCCTGGGAGAGCTAGCTCCTTTTATTTATTAGCCTCAATCATTGGACAGTTCTTCCTTTAACTGAACTACACTCTTCTTCCTGCAGCTGTCTCCCACAGGTGGGGATTTTCTTGGGGGAAAGTCCTGAACAAGTTGAATGTCTCATTTCTCATGGAGAATTTGAACTATTTGAAAATGTATTTAATGTGTCTCTTAGTTATCTTTTCTCCCTCGAGTTTTTTCAGCTCTCCTCAGCAGGTTATGGTTTGGAGTCCCTCTACCATCCTTGTCACCATCTGTCGTTTTCCATCTTTGAATGAGACACGCATTGGAAGCAACCTAGCTGTCTAAAAATTGGGGATTAGAATGTCCAAATAAGTTACAACATGAGACAAGACTATGTAGCCCCTAGAATCATGTTTTGAAGAATATTTAGTAATATAAAAAATGTTTATGACAAAGCAAGTAGAAGGAGGGAAGCTGTATATACAACAGAGCCCAAATTTATTAAAAAATATTCACATTAGAAGTCTAAAATATGCTAAAATATTAAGAATGGTGTTATGGCAGGTTTTGAATTTATTTTGTGCTTTCCCGAATTTTCTACTGAGAACATGTTATTTATTTTTTAATTATAAAATTTTTTTTTAGAATGAAACAAAAAAAAAAAAGAAAGAAAGAAAGAAAAAAAGGATGGATGGACACAGCACTCATAGGAGCCCTAGCATTGTTCAGGGTTTTTGGCAGATGAACCACCCTCTTGACTAGTGATGCACCTGTAGCTCATCAGAACCTCAGAGAATTATTTTCTCCACTTGAATTACTATCTCTTTTTAATCTGATAACAGGCATTGGGGGGCAGCCTGTCACAGAAGCACATGGGCTGGGCGGGGAGAAGGGAAGGATGCGCAGGTCACTCTCTGTATAGTGACTTCAGGATGTTTCCATAGTGTAGTGATTATCACCTTCACTGGACATGGGAGTGACCTGCATGGGGGCTGCACCAGCTGGAGGGAGGCCATGCACTGTCAGCTTCCAGCCCGTCTGATGGCCCCCCTAACCTTAAAGTCCTATGAGTTGTAAGATGTGGTAACACTGGTTTGTGAAAGCGAATAGCACCTTCCTTGGCTGCTCTGTGAAGCACTGGGGTCCTTGAGACGGTGGGGCCTCCTGATCAGCCTGAAAAAGAATATAAATGCCTCTGTGCAGGGAGCAGCATGGTGGGGACGAACCTCCTGGCCCAGCAGGATATCATCCATTTGCCATTTCTCCCTAAGGAAAGGCGTCTGGGTGTCAGAGCCTTGCAGCAAATGCAACACATGCATTTCTCAATCTCCTCTTCTGGGGAGGCAGAGAGAGAGGTCATTGGAGGATGTGGTTGAGGCCCTGCATGGGGCAGAACCTTCAAGGAAACAGAAGGAATGGTCAGGTGGACAGCTCCACCGTGTGAGCAGTGGGGGAAGAAGGTCCCAGAGACAAGGGAGGCATCTGCTTCCTCAGACCTGCAGATGGGTGCTTTGGCAGAATTTACAACTCATGGGGAGTTTCTTCTCTTCTCTATAAAGGTGGATTCTCATCTCTGAGAATAAAGCTTTGGTTTAACTTCTGTCATTTCCTTCTGAGGGGGTGTATGGGCTGGACTGTGCCAATGATTCATTTAAATTTATTCTTATTAATTATTATCCTTATTAAGAAGATGCTTAGTCCAACGGATACTCCTCTAGATTTATAAGACCCATGAAGTTAATAGAAGCTCAGCAGATGGGTGCTCCCCCCCCCCAATTCTTAACGCAATAAACAGAAAATCTCTGTTCTCTCTTTGCAATGTGCATGTGCATAGTTTCCAGGATGAATGACCCAGAATGTTGAACCGAAAGCATTCCTTAAGATGAGACTCTTCAGCTAACTAAAGTAATATTTAAAAAAAAACCACTTCGACCTGGAGGTTACGGGAGAAGTATAGCTTAGTACGGACACAGCAGGTCTTGGCTAGCGTACTCCCTGGGGGTGAACATAAAGCGATCTCTTATGTTGAAAGGGTTTGCAGGTTCCACCAGGAAAAGCAGCGTGTGATTTGCTAGGTAAAAAGTTAGAGCGCATGGACCTAGCTCAACGGTGTGTATCATGATTCTCTGTGAATAGGTCTTATTTGTCAAAGGATATCATAGGTTGGACTCAGCGTTCCAGGGGAAAGTCAGGGCGGGGTGCTCATAAACACAAACACAATAAAAAAAAAGGTGACGTCCTTGCTTTGGTAAAGCTACGGTTGTGATGTGAGTTGCTCCTCTTTTTGGCTTTTTGCCGTTGGTTTTCTCCAGCAAGAACCCCAATGGTGCATTTCCACCAGTCAATTCAATGTCCTCAGCTAGGGTGGGTATTAAAGCTTGCCACCTCTCCCTATTTTCTGGGCTTGCTCTTTCAGACCACAAGTCTCCTGATTGTTTTCTCACAAAGCCACTACCATTCCAGGCTACCAGGCCCCCGGCCTTGTCCCTTTGCTTCTGGCCTGAGCTGTGGCTCCAGCAAGAGGGGCTGTTGGAGCGTGCGTGCGTGGTTATGCGTGCATGTGTTTCTGTGTGCGCGCGCAGCCACCCAGGTCAGCTTGTACTTACGTAGTTCGAGGACAGGTCCGGGTGCAGATAATCAATCCCTGTGAAAAGAACACCACAGGATGGAAGGTTAATGCCCGCTATTGCGTCCTCAGGGAAGATGCTCAAGAAGACACCCCCCTTATGGGGCTGGCGCCAGGAGAATGGAGTGGGCTTAGCACATGTGCTTCAGGCCCGTCCTTGTGTTTCCATTCCCGAGTGAGGGTGGGCCGCACCTCTAAAGTGGGGAGAGAGCTGCCACCAGACAGCATCAGAAGAGTGAAGCCAGTTAGATCTGTGGCCCCAGGATAAGACTTTCTGACATACATGTCTGTACTAAGGGGCTTAGTGTCTGCAAGATGGATGGCTCGTCAGAGCAGTGATCTAAGATTTGTGGAAATCCTGACATTTTTCAAAGCATCAACTGGCATTTCTTCTGAGATGAAACTGGCCCTGGGGAGGAAAGACGATTATTATTTAACAGGGTACAGACAGCAATGGACTAGGGGAATATTCTCTGGCATGGGTTAATCAGAAAAACATGGCTGAGTGGGAAAGGCACTTTCTCAGAGAGCAAATGGTGTCCAGTGAAGTGTCCTGGGTGAGATTTGATCTTGTCCCTGCAGAATATAGCTTTCTAGGAAGCCTGTGACCTTGAGCTTCCCAGCAGGAGCCATGTGCTTTCTCCTGGATGTAGCCCATCTTGCTGCCCAAGAGTGTTTGCAATGGTAGAGTTAGGAACACCACTGCATTCCCTTATCCGTGAGGCCTCAGAAAGTATCATGGAACTTCAAGGCCATGTTGAAAGCTCTCAGCCAGGGGTGCAGAGCCATATAACCTCTGCAGCACCCAGCTCTTCACAAAACCTGCATCTCTGGGTGTCACAGTCACGAGCATAGATTTTGGAGTCAAAACCCCGAAGTGTGAATTCCAATCCTGCTGCCAGCTGGCTGCATGATTTCAGGTGAGGTGCTTGGCCTCTCTGGGCTTGGTTTCTTCTCCGTCAAGCGGCATGAATGGTGAAGTGCACATAGCTCGGTGGCATTTGCTAGCTCTATTGGATTTGCTGTGTTTAAAAGCTAGAGGTATCATTCATTTCCTCTGATAGGTGGCACCTTCCATGCGAGCACCCTAAGGCCTGGTCGCAGATAGAGCTTTGCCCCGCAAAAAGAACTGGTATTGGGATGTTGCATTAAAAAAAAAAAAAAAAAATCCTCCTTTGTTTTTTGGTTACACAAGAAATTTCTGGACTGGAAGTCATTGTCCTACAGAACATATGTTACATTTTGTTGCTGGTATTTTGGCATGCAAAGCATGTCAAATTACTGCTGTCACTCATGACTGCTTTCTGTAGTTTGGGAGAGGATAGCCTGTCACTTCCCATCCACCATCCTCCATTTCCTGCTCTCCTGCACCCCCTCCCAAGGACTGCAGAAAGACAGGGGTCAGAAGATTCGAGGACTAGTATTTTTAAAGTTTGCCAGCCCTTGTCCTGGACCCTAATTCAGAAATGGTCTGTTTCAGCTGTGGGATGGGTTGGGGATGAGCCCAGGCTACGGAGACCAGCAGATCTGGTTCTGTTCTACACTCAGACACTCTAATAATTGTGAGGCTTCTGCCAAGTGACACAATTTCCCCAAGCCTCAGTTTCCTTATCTTTGAAATGGGGATATTATTTACCTTGCAGAACAGTGTTCAGAGATGAGGGCCAATTCATTAAGTGTGTTTAGCTTGTAGTAAACACTTGATATGTTGTATTTATTGCTGTCACCATTGGTCAGTGTCATCTACCACATCATTAGAGTCATGTGGATAATGCAGAAGAGCAGAAATATTTTCAAAAATCTACTGGGTCTTAGAATGTTGTGTTGAAATTAAATTGTATGTATTTGTTGAAACTGGTTACATTTTGTGAAGTCAATGTGGGGCAAAACATTTGTAACCTATAGATAAATTAAAAACACACCTGCAGTGGGCACACAGAGAATATTTTTTTTCCTAGTGGGGAATCGATTTTTTGGGGCATAATTATACTTCTCAAGTTTATTTATATTTTTAGTAATCTCTACACCCAGTGTGGGGCTTGAACTCACAACCTTGAGATCAAGAGTCATGGGCTGTACTGACTGAGTCAGCCAGGAGCCTCTGCATGGTCATCCTTCTATTCATGTTTGTAGTGTGTAAGAAGACTGTGGTGCATGTATATACACACTTAAGCCTCGGGAAAGCCAGGTACAAGTCACCTGCCCAGACACTCTAAGGCAGGAGCATCCAGCACCCACAATCTCAGGTGATATCCACGCCCCCACAATAAATCAAGCTGACTTCAGACATCTGGGTATTTCCCCCAGAGGGTAAACGTTCCTGGTAAAAGCTCCTAGTCCATGCGGGGGAACAGTTTTTAAAAGATGACCTCATGTTCTGATAGTGTAAGTTGTCTGGGAGAGAAATTTTCTGAGAAACAGTAATTTCTTCTCTGCGAAGGGAAACTATCAAGGCAAAGATAATTTGAGACTTGAAGGAAATTAAAATTAAAACAAGATAAATTTAGCCCAATTAAAATTAAGGATCTTTAATTAGGTTAAGGGGAAGTCTGAGTGTTAAGTTGGTACAGACACAGACTTTAGTCTGAGAAAGAAGAGATTACTGATAGAACCATGGGGGAATGACAGACATGATTCAAAAAAATATAGTGAACTAAAGCATGAAAATAATGGACTGGTAATGAAATAGTATTTTAATATTTTTGTCTATTTGATTATCTTTTGAGGTGGAGTGTACTAAATACATTTTCTCAATCAGTTTATTTATTTTTTAATTCTTGTATTATGAATGTATTCAATTCTATTTTGCACTCATTGGGTTATTTTCAGCAGTGAACACCAGGCACGATGCAGGTCCTGGAAAAACAGACAATTTAGACACAGAACCTGAGCTTTCAGGTATCTATAGCTCCCAGTCTACAGTGGGGACCAACTCAACACCAGCCAATCATAACACAATGTGGAATGCAAATGATAATTACTTGGTTATAGTTTACATTAGTATCCCATCATCAGTTTGAGTCTTTTCAGAATGTCTAATCCACAATGTTTCAAATGCTCAGGAAGCTCTGATGGTTCTGGAGACCTCAGAGAATTAGCAAGGAGCTCCATAGACCTGTTCCTAGTTACAATGTTAGTAATTCAGTTGAGATGTATAACAATGCCACACATCGGTAGGGCTGTTCTCCCCCTCTTCAATCTGACTGGTCTATGACTGCCTCTATCAATAAAATGTTGCATGACGTTCAAGGCTAGGTCAGAAAAGTCCAGGCATCTTCCATTTGTTCCCTTTGGACACTTGTCCACTCAGGGAGGGAGGAGGGGAAGTCAATAGCCAAGGAAGAAGCTCCTGTGTGGCCCTTGGTATGAAAGGCTCAACTGAGCTGCGGCAGCCAACGTCAGTGGTGAACCATGGGGATGAGCCATGAATGTACACCCCAGCTGAATCTTCAGATGACTGTTGGGTAGCCAGCATTCTGCCCTTGACTGCATGAGAAACCTCAAATGAGAAGTGCCCAGACTGTCTTCTTGAGTTTTCGTGCCACAAAGTTTGAGCAAAATAAATAGTTACTATAAGCTGCTAAGAGTTGGAGTCATTTGTCATACAGGAATAATAACTGGAACAGATACCCTACTAGTCCTTCTGAGACCAGCGAAGCCCAAGTTAGGGGAGAAAACTTTGCTTTTCTATGTGAGGCAGACTTCTAACTCTCTTGGGAGGGTGCGGCTGACTGCCTGATCCTTGAGCTTGAACCTCCACTGGTAAGGATGAGATCCGGTTCACAAAGACTCACCAGGGAGGCAGAGCCAAGGGGTGAGCTGCAAGCACTGAAGATGGTGGGTAAGATCAGTTTGGGTAGTTTCTTGCCTCCCTAACCTCAGTTTCTTCATATGCAACATATGGACAATAGCACTAATCTTAGAGGATAACTGTGACTGTTTCCAAATTGTTAGGTGGTGTCTAGTATATAGTGAGTACTCAAGAAATGTTAGGTTTTTTTTTTTTTTAAAGATTTTATTTATTTATTTGTGTGAAAGAGAGAGAGAGCACAAGCAGGCAGAGGGCGAAGCAGGCTCCCTGCTGAGCAGGGAGCCCAATGTGGGACTTGATTCCCGGGACCCTGGGATCATGACCTGAGCCAAAGGCAGATGCTTAACTGACAGCCACCCAGGCATCCCAAGAAATGTTAGGTTTTTATTGTTGCTTCAGCTTGAAGCTATCCCTGACCCTGCCTGCCTGGTCTTCAGTTTTACCTCCTTGGCACCATCTGATGTTGGCTAACGTCCTTGACTCTTGCCTTCACTGACCATCTATAGCCTTGATAGCCTGCACCTGTCCAGAATCGTGCCTGGGCTGGGTGGCTCCTATCCATCTCTGTGTTTTGTTGGCCATACCTTGTTTTCTAGTTCAAGTTCCCAACACCAAACAACTCTGTTTGCGATGAAAGGGGTGAATTGTTATCATTAAGTGGGGTCCTTGCTGGCATCTCCATGCCTGGAACATCAGAACAAACCCTTAAGAAATGCTTTCTGCCCCTGTGGGCAACAGATAACCATGGAGGTACTCTCCTTCTGATGTGTAGTGTGTGGAAATGACAGTAAGTTGCACCTACATGAAAGCAGCAGATATTTATTGAGTATGTATGGAGTCATTGGATCCAACAGAGGATGTTGGTCTAGTTCTGAGTTGTGCAACCAGAAAGTATGAACAACTATTAAAATGGAGCTATCTATAGATTGACTCTCCCACATGCAGGTAATCAAAGTATTTTCCATACAGCCCAAAATAAAGAGAGCAATGATTAGGAAATATGACATTGTTTCTGCTCTTAGGTATGAAGTCAGTATCTGTGTGTCTTTATCCTGTTGGAGAATGATATTTTGCTTAGCAAATATCTGGGAAATGATCCCACACCATTTACTGATGCTCCCAGCCTCACCATTGCACTTCACATTCTAGGTGTTAGGGCAGAGATGCCCAATGTCATGGTATGAGGCTGCTGACCATTGTTCCTGTAGTGTGGGAGGCCGCTTATATCCCAGATGTGCTCATCTTGCTTTTCAATAGCGGATTTGGAGAGTGGCTTGGTGGTTCTTCTCTTCTTCAGTTATCACACAAAATAAGCATGTGCTGAATTAAAGCCAGCCACAAATCCTTTGTTTAACTCTGCACCAGGATGTGGAACCTATTCCTCTTTCCCTGAAATTTGGCCCTGAGACCATTCCTCCAATAAAAGTGGCTGAGTGATGGGATGCCTGGGTGCCTCAGCGCGTTAAGCATCTGCCTTCTTCTCAGGTCATGATCCCGGGGTTCTGGGATTGAGTCTCACCTCAGGTTCTCCTCTCAGTGGGGAGTCTGCTTCTCCCTCTGCCTGCTGCTCCCCCTGTTTGTGCTCTCTCTCTCTCCTTCTGACAAATAAATAAATAAAATCTTAAAAAAAAAAAAGTGGCTGAATGATGCTTGTGCATTCCATGCCTGGCCTAGAGGAGGAGTGGCAGCTTAGAATGACTGTTCCTGTGACCCCCAAGCTATCTGTAAGAAATCCAGCTACCTTTCTGGGGAGACCACGTGGAGAGGGGATGTCCGGGGACTACATGGAGTGGGAGGGAGGCCAGGCTATTTTAGCATCTCAGTTAAGCCTTCAGTTGACACTAGTTCCAGCTGCATTCTGACCCCTATGGCATGAGAGACCCCAGAGAGACCAGTAGCAGGACTTCCCAGCTGAGCCTGGTCAACCCACAGAACTATGAGACATAAGAAAATGGTGGTTGTGTTAAGCCATTCAATTTTGGGGTAGTATATTCTGCAGCAGTAGATGACCAAAGCAGTGGAGGAGTTGGGAGTTTAAAATGGGGGGCGGGTAGAGAGTTTGTTTTTTTGGGAGGATGCCCAAAGACCACTAAATCAGAAGAAATAATATCAAATAAGAAACTCTGCTGAGACTTTCTGAAGGGCTTGGCTTCTCACATCAGGAAAGGTGGGTCAGAGTCAGGGCTCATCCTCCCCTTGTCTTTTTGGAAGGGTTGCTTCACAGTCTGTCAGGGGGCTACAGTCAAAGAATCCAGAAGTAGGCATCACGGGCTGTTCGGTTTCATAAAAGCAATACGACTGTCTGCGGCCACTTTTAGGGTGCTCCTCTAATCCCTCAGATGTTGTGTAATTACAATATATCCTAGGCAGATTTATCCCGAACACAGACACATCTTTCTCCTGGGTGAGCTGGTCTCAGTTACATTGATTTCCAATCCAAAGATTAGGGAGGAAGGAAGAACTGTAAGTGCCCAAGACCCACTCGTGTACACACACTCTTTCTCCTGCAGAGCTCCTTTATTCCTGTGAAAGCCCTCGGCCACTGGAGAAAGCTTCTACATCCACTTCAAACATCTCCCACATCAGAAAATGCGGAGGCATTGTTTTTATGTGGATATTTAATGAGCCCTCACAAAAGACAGCACCAATTTTAAGCATGTTGGCTCCCTTTGTCTCACCATCAATTCAGCTTCAAAGGCTTGCTTTGGACAGCTTAGGGTTCTTTGAGGATCTTCAGAAGGGAAAAGCTCCATTGTTTCATCTCTCACACCTAGGCTTTAGGTATAATTGCATTAGTACTGCTCAGTGGAGCCTTTCCTGGAGGAGCCACATGGCTGATGAAGGGCAAGGGACCTGCCCAGGGAGAGGACCACAGGGCAGAGATTCTCCAGAATCTTGGCAGAGCCAAGGACGTGTGTAGTTAGAAAAATACCAGTTCACCCTACCCATTCTACCCATCCTACACTTTGTGTTTTGTATCACAAACTATAGAAAATAAAGCTCTACTAAATCTTTGTCTGGCAGGTATACGGGATAGAATAACGTGTTATACATATATGCATATGTAATAAAAGGTTATCAAGGTCTGCTTTACCAGGGTTCATCCTGAAAGTCAAAATTTCTTCAAACTCCAATCCTGTTATCAAAAAGCTTCTTCATGGGTGTAGAGCCATACTGTCTAATAGAGCTTTCTGTGATGATCGAAGTGAAGTTGAATTCAGTTTCAGCAGCTGCTAGCTAGCCCCTTGGGGTTACTGAGAACTTGAAATGAAGCTAGTGTGACTGAGGAATTGAATTTTTAATTTTATTTAGCTTTAACTCATTAAAACCTCAGTGTAAATAGCCACATACGGCCAATGGCTACTCCGTTGGACAGTGTGGATCTGGAGTACATGGTAAGTTCGAACAGGTTTAGAAGATGCTCTAGGGTAAGGTACAAACAGTGGCCCAATAAGAAATGACAGTTTGGTGATGGCCAGTCTTCCTTTGTTCATTTTTTTTTTGAATTTTTAATTTATTAATTCAATAAATATTTATTAAAGGCATCCTCAAATTTGAAGACCGCTGATCTGGAGGAAGGGGAGGATTTTGCCACAGTATAGATGGGTGGTCAGGTCCAGCAGGTGTCTCTTCTGTCTTTGATTCGCATCTCTAAGCAATGAATCTTTGGTATTCCAAAGGCATGCAAAGACTTGCTTCCAAATGATGTGAAGGCTTTGAAATACTCACCATCATCCATAATTCCAATGGTAACACCTTTCCCTGTGTATCCCAGCTCCCAGGCTTCTGCCACATTCAAATCAAGGCCAGGAGTGCCATCAGCTTGTCCGGTATTGATCTGGTTCAGGAATTTCAAAGCAAAGAATCTGATTACTCTGGTGCAGTAAAGCACCTATCTAAATGTTTGCACCTGCTACGCCAGGGCCTGGTCAAAGGCCATGCCTTCTGTGAAACAGTACTCCTGAATGTTTCCCCATCCACCTCTTCCAGACTTCTCCCTCCATTTTTTGATACACACAATTGATGTTTCTCTGATGGGATTGCTGTCTTTAAACTCCTTAAATCTGCCATTGCAAGAAACCCTCTCCAGTTCTGAATTAAATGCTCATTCTTGTAGAGTTTATACCTCAAGATTGGAATTTAGCACATACTGTCTTGGATCATCCTTATTTGAATGTGATTTCCTCTCTCAATAGCAGTAAGCTTTGCAAGAGGGAGCATGTCCTACTTAACGTTTGTAATTTCAGTGCCACCACACCAAATCTCACGTAAAAATATTTGATGCACCAAATCGAAGATAACTGGCTTACTTTTAGTGCTCATTCTAATGCAAAAAAAAAAAAAGTCTTTTCCCTAAAAAAATTCAAAAAAGGGAAACAAAGAAATTGTATATAACTATGTCCATCACCCTCTTTTCATGCTTTTTTGTCCTGTGCAGATTTTCCCAAAGATGAGTTTTAAAAGCAATGAAGTCAGAGCTTGTACTGGCAGAAGCCCACAGTGACCTGTTGGCTGTTACTAGAGGGTTGCTAAAACACTGCTGTGAATGTCATTAGTGTGCTTGGTAAAAATGACTGCTCTTCTCCTTCCACGCATGCGTTCAGGTTACACTTTTCCATCACCTAGGAAGTTAGTGGAATGCCCACATCACTGGTTTGGGTCAATAGGATGTATGCTCATGTGCTATATGTTACATCCAGGCCGAAGCCTTAGGTAACAGTGTGTGACCTACCCCTTCCCCTTGTTGAGGTGCTCATGAAAGCAGGGTTCAGGATGGAGCTGGCATGGAGCTTGGGTCCCTGAGGGACTAGGAAGTGTTGGACATACAGCATGAGTGAGCAAAAGCTTTGATTTGTTAAGCCGGGGTGACTTGGGGGGTTGGCTGTGATCGCAAGAAATGTAGTCTAACCTGATTAACACACATGAGCTCTTTTCAGTTATCCGGATCAGATTTGTAGGATTCCATGCCCAAAAGCAAAGGACACAGTCACACCCGGAAGACCCAATGTAGAAGATGTGATGCATTCCTATACATGTCTCAGTCCACAGGGCTATAACTTAATCTTCTCTCTTGCTCATCACCTTTTAAGATTAAATAAGGTAAAACATCACTCACAGTTTTAAATTAATCACTCCTTTTCCCTCAAGATGCCCTACAGTTAGGTTTGGTTTAGAGGATTTGGGTCTCTTTTAAATATAACCCAACCCATCCAAATGGATCATGAAGGACTGCTGGTGAGTCAGATAATAATATTCACTTCACTGGATAGACAGGGCTTCTGAGGTGTGACTCCTTCACCTGGAAAGCCCCATGGATGTGATTTCCTGCCATTATTTTAAGAGGTGCTAATGGATGCTACTTTTCTCGATTTGGTCTTTGAGCTCTCTTGCTTGTCTTTTGTGAAGCTGCCAGAGTCTTTTCCTTATCCCTGTGGTTTCATTATGTCCTGCAGTCATTCTGCCTGTTGAGATCCCTGGATTACTCCCCTCAGACCCTTGACTCAACTTCTACATGATTTTGCAAGTCTTCCCTCATGCACTGGTGTGATTTTTCAAAGTCTGGGGCAACCTGATCAGCATTTGGTAGGTGGTTTGACCCTAAGGGTTCATGGCTATTTAGCATTTCCAGAAGGAAGGAGATAAGAGAACATGATGCATGGGTGCTGATAGAAAATCAATACATATCAGAGGGGACAGAGAGTTTCATGGAGTCAGATGCTGGCTGACATCCCACAGAATAACGAGGAAATAGAAATGCATTTTTTTAAATCTGAAGTCTCAAGATGAGAAATGTTAGGAATAATATGGCATGCTTACCAGATACCACTGCTTTGTAAAAAGAGGATCATTCATGTTGATATCGATCTCGTTGATGTCTCTATACCCCCGTTTTTTTCTGTCAAATCCTTCTTGCTGCAAGGCCATCTTTACCTGGAATGACAATATTGGCATATTACCTGAATATCCACCCGAACAACTTCTTCTGGAATTCATTTCCGTGAATTCAAATTCCATTTGCACACAGGTATTTTTTCCTCTGTGGAAGCCAGGTTCATCTCATGTACACTCTACACTCCATGATTATTTTCTGAAAACATTTGCTTCTGACTGTGCTCAATAAATTGGCTTTGGTGATGGCTCAAAGTGAGTTTCCTTAAAATGGGTATTTGATAGAGAAAAGTACTCTCACGGAAGATAAGGGAGTAGGGGTTGTTAAGGAAAAGAAAACGAAACAACACTTCTATTAAGTAAAGAAGGTTGATGTGGATTCAGAGAGGGAGAGAGAGTTAGAACTGCAGGGTCCATTTTTCTGGAAGGCTTTCCAGCCTTTACAGTTTGTTGAGAGGATTGTGTTATCACATTTGGGAATCAGCCAAAACTGAAATCAAGTCAAATCAAACCAAACACAAATGCAAACGTAAACCCAAACCAAAAGAACGCCTGCGTGGGGAGCCAGCCAGTTCATAGCAAAGCTCTGGAGGGTAAGTGAAGGATCTTTGAAAAAAAAAGGGCTGTCCTGGCAATGGCAGCGCTTCAATTTTTGTTTCCAAAATTGGAACCCCAAGCCCTTGGATGAAATGAAACTTAGGAACTGAATTATTCAAGCAGGCTCCTGGCAACAGTTAGACTTTGTCCCATTCATGAAATTCTCTTCACTTGGGCATCACGGATTTATCATCCAGGGGCTGTGGCTCGTCTCTGAACATCTACAGACTAAGGGGCCATGCAAATGTAGAAAAGGGTGTGTGCTACATACTGATTCTTTATTTTTTTTAAGAGAGAGCAAGCGCATGTGTGAGCGAGTATTGGGGTGGTAGGGGTAGAGGGAGAGGGAGAGAGAATCTTAAGCAGGCTCCCTACCCAGTGCCGAGCTCGACTCGAGGCTTGATCTCACAACACTGAGAACATGATCTGAAGCAAAATCAAGAGTTGGACGCGTAAAGAACTGAGCCACCCAGGTGCCCCTGATTTTTTAACGATACTTTGCTGCCCAACATCATTTCTTCTTTTCTCAAGTATTCCTAGTGCATTTGGAGGATTACCTGGTGTCCACTAGGTTCTGTGTTGGGAATGAAATTTGAGACACCTATCTGCAAAGAAACTGCAGGCTCTCTCTGCCTCAGAGGTGCCCAGGTGGGTATGGATTTGAACCCTGGGAAAGGGATGTGAGAGCAGAAGGAAGCCTTGAAGGTTATTTATCTCAGAGGTTCAATCACCAGCCTTGCCCTATAAAAGGTCCTTGGGGACAGTTCCACAACCTGGAATCTTCCCCAAGACCAATCCTTCAGCCTCCCACTGATTGTGAGCTCCCTATACCATTCCAGGAAAATCCCTTTTGCTTAAGTAATTCAGAATCTGTTTGTGTTATTTGCACTTGAGAACTTTGATATGGGAGCAAGGAAGTCAAGAGGATCCAAGTCAACAGTAATGGCAGGGAGGGAAGCATGAAGAGTCCACAAATGTGTCTGGAGACCTCCCCTTCTTTGCTGTCCTATAATGGGCAGGAATGTTGTGGGAGAGTGGTTCCTTACTTGGCTCTACACACTGACACAGGCAGACCAGGGACTCATTTGCCAGAAAAACTAATTCCAGCAGAAACTCTGTATGTGTAGAAAAGAAGTGGTTCATGTGGCATTTTCTCTGTTCTTTGGAGGTATCTCAACAACAGATGTAGACTGTGGCACATAGCAAATGTTTGAGAGCATTGCGATGGATGGAGAGTCTATTATAAAATCTAGACACAACTAGTGTCCATCAGATGGAGATAAATTATGATTCAAATATCCATATACTTATATGTATAAGGTATATAATATGTATATATATATATATATATATATATATACACACACACACGTATATATACACACATATCTTCTGTATAGACACACACATACACACATATATCTTCTGGGAAACAGATGCCAAGATGAGATTAAATGTGCAAGGCTTTTATTAAGAGAGAAAAATGAAAGAAACTGCTATGTAAGCTTGACCCCATAAAAGAGAAAGTTAAAAAGATGGGGCAAAAGTTTCCTCAATGGCTCTATAGCATAAGGAAAGTTTGGCAGGTCTTTTGGGGCTTCAAAGTCGGCTGTCAGAAAAATCCTGTGTCTCCCAGGGACGAGCCTGCCTCAGTGCCCCTGCTGTGCTCAGTCACTGGCTAGAGCTGCCTAGGAAGCATGGCCTCTTGCCAACACAGTGACAGATTTCAGAGTGCAGCAGCTGGGGTTCTTGGTCAATTATTCTCCTGGAAGTCAGAGATGTACGCTGCGTGTTCTCACAGCTGCCACACAACAGACAGATAGATCTATCTAGACACATATACACACCCGTATGTAAAGAGCCACACACGCCCCCCTTAAAACTTTTCTTTTACTTGGGAAGCAAGTGTTCAAGGAAGCACAGCAGGAGTGTCACTTTCACTTGGGAAGGAGCCTGAATTCAGCCATCGCCTCTTTCTGTCGTGGTCCTGAGCAAGACCTTTATCTGCGCTACTCATTGGTGGTAAGCCTTGCTTCCACTGAGGGATTCCCATCATACTGGATTTGTTGTCATGACTAACTTTGTTAAAGCAGCACCGTTCTTTCTCGAGGGTCTTTGCTAAGCAGGAGCAGCTGCCCTGTGGATGCTTGAAAACTCCCCTCTGGAGCTTCTTCTCAGCAGCAGAAGAACAAGAAGACTCACATCAGATGTCATCTTTTTATTTATTTATTTTTTTTTAAAGATTTTATTTATTTATTTATTTGACAGAGAGAGAGAGAGAGAGCACAAGTAGACAGAGAGGCAGGCAGAGAGAGGGGGAAGCAGGCTCACTGCCGAGCAGAGAACCCGATGCGGGGCTCGATCCCAGGACCCTGAGATCATGACCTGAGCCGAAGGCAGAGGCTTAACCCACTGAGCCACCCAGGTGCCCCAGATGTCATCTTTTTAGATAACAGGGCAGGAATGGCTGTGACAATAGCACTCCAAACTCAATTAGCCTGAGTGCAGTCTAATGAAAAGACCTTAAATCCATTTCCATAAAATTAATTTTTAATTCCATAAATTAGGTTTTAATGGAGACCAGCAATGCTTTGGAATGCTGTGCTCTCTCTTGACATCACCCCTCCTTGCAACCCAGAAGTTCTGAAGCATGACGTAGGTGTCTGTAATCTTGTCATCTAGTGTCACTAAAAATTAAAAATCCTAAGACTGCGAGCATTTCTGAGCCTTTTAGTTTATCTTCATGTCCTTAATGAAGATCACAGTTATAATTCTAAGAGAGAGAACATCTTTTAAACATATATTTTTATTCGTTACACACAAATAACTGGAGAATAGCTTCTTTTCCCCCCTCACAATGATACCATGGAATATCATAAATTGCTTTAATCTTCCTAGGTTCTTTTTCAATGCTAATTTGCATTTAAACCTAATTTTTACATAAAAGTAACTGAACTATAGATAAAATTATGTATTCTTTCTTCATGAAGTATCTTACCTTAGGAATTTTAATATGCTGCTTCACGGCTCTCATAACTTAATTTTTAATAGCTACCTGAATATCCCATAGAATAATATACCATAATTTACCCAATGATTCCCCTCTTACTGGTCATTTGGATTGTTTTCTATTATAAATGAAATTACCATTAGCAGAAAGATGAGATTATAAACTATTTTTAAAGATCTCTGGAGAAGACTTAAGTGTTATAATCCTATGTGTGTTAAAGCTGTTAATATCAGAAAAGTATTTCCTAGTTCACAATCCTTCCTCATATTATAACTAAAAGGTCACTTCTATTCTCTCTTCTTCCTGCTCTGAATTGTAACCTTTCACTCAAGATACCTTCATTACCACTTTGATGTGGCACCAGTGCCATGTAACTGAACCATAGCTTCTTGCCTTCTTGAACAATAATGCACGGTTAGCTTAGGTATTTTAGACTGCTCATGCAAATTGGTCTATTGACCTGAACATTTATATAAATGGAAAACATAAGAAAGCAGGAATGTTTGTTACTGGGAATTATCTTAGAAACAAACAGATGGATATTCTGCAATTCTTGTTCAACTTTTAAGTCTTAGCTTGACACATGCATATAGAACAACTTTTACTTAAAGAAACTCCTTCCACTCCCTTTCCTCTTGTAGTCCTTCTCGTCAATTAAGAATTTTCAGTCAACAAATGTTTTCGTGCATCTACAATATACCAGTTACAGACCATTCTAGAAGGAGGCAGATACTATCCCTGCACATTTGCATTCTATTTTACAAGTTTTGCTAACAAGGTAATTTTGCTACATAGAATCTTCTCAACAAGACTGTGGAGAGGGTATGGTTACAGCTGAGGAAAGGACTTTAAGCGGCCATTGTTCAGCGGTTGAAAACATGGCGGAATCACACATGCTGACCAATTCTAAATGCTATGTACTTTCCACTAAGCCACATTGCTCCTCCCTAAAGCACAGAACACAGTCAACCTTCTAGTATCTGGGACAGCTTAACCGTAAATGTAACTCTCCAAGGATCAGGGCCTGGATCACTTCCTGCTGGGCTGATAATTAAACAGCTGCTAATTAGCATTGACTGTGTGGGGCAGGAGAGGGGCGGGGAGAAAGAGGAGCACTATGGGAAACCTGCCTCCAAAGGGCGAAACAAGTTAGCTTGGAGTGAGCACAAGAAAAGAAGCATAAAACACAGAACCAACATGTTGGTGAAAATACTGAAGTTCTATGCCTATGATGTTGTAGATTAGATTACAACATTATTTTCTCTTTTTTAAAGATTTTATTTATTTATTTGACAGAGAGAGAGATCACAAATAGGCAGAGAGGCAGGCAGAGAGAGAGGAGGAAGCAGGCTCACCGCCAAGCAAAGAGTCCGATGCAGGGCTTGATCCCAGGACTCTGGGATCATGACCTGAGCCGAAGGCAGAGGCTTTAACC